CATATCATTGTGAGAAAATTTGACTACCAGTCCTTCATCACCTTAAACTAAATAGGGTGAATACACCTCATATTACTGCTTTGCCGTTAGTCTCGAAACCCTGTTTACATGCCCTTTGACCCAAGGACACTCGTGGCAATGTGGCAGAGTTGTTTACGTGTCAAGCTCATATATTGTCACTGTTCGACTCCCTCTGGGTGTGTTGATTAGATCCATGCGAGGTCGAAACTGCAGTCCACTCTGGATGAGAAAAACTTTTGGGAAAGCAAGGCTATGTGAAATTCAATGGAAATGTCAGCTATACTCATACTCTTTGGAAAATTCTACTATCAGTCCTCCATTGCCTTAAACGAAATAGGGTAAATACATCTTATAATAATGATTTATCGATAGTTTTTAAATCTGGCCCCTCAAGAGCCTTTAATTATCATCCTCGATTACATCATATTTAAAGATTTAGAACCGATGATGCCAAAGCCAGTGCCTATAGGTCTTCCTCTTCTTAGGCTTATAGCCCATTATTTCATTATACTCTACCTCATCTTCAACCACATGGTATCATTATTTGGGGCTCTGTGTCCGGCTTTAATCAGAACTACTCTTGTAAAAATGAACCGCTTCCTTTTTATCCGTTTAATTTGGGCAAGCACACTTCTCGTCCTTCAAGTTGACATTCACATCTTATCCTGGGTACTACGATGTTAATGTGCTTGTTGGTTGGTTTCTCCCGTGGTCAATCCTGCTACTAATCTCCTGTCCTTCAGACATATAAACCAAAAATTCACACAAGTGCCCACGCCTACATTGTTGACCTATATCTAGCCCACTTTTAACTTGAGCCTTTACTTACATATCCTACTTTTCACAGGTAGAGTCCCCTGGGTAACTTTTTTAGTAATGTTTCCAGTTGACGGTCGAATTCTCGAAATCACGAATAATATGGCAGAGGAAACGGGACTATGTGCGTTCCACAAGGTCACCTTGACGATCCGACCAGGTTGCAAAAACAAGCTTGAACCACCACTATAAAGGTAAAAGGATTTGCGACCAAACATAAGACCTCATCATCTTGATCTTCATATCTACGATTGGCATGCATGGTCTAATTGGCTGTCGCCTATACTCAGAATAGAAACGCAAACAGGGTGAGCGAACTTAAAATAAGAATTACCAGAATCTTGGAATTGTTTGGCTCTTAACTTTCGTAAGATGTTAGTAAGGCTGGCGGATCTACGCCACTTCAGTCTGGATTCTTTTGTAACGTAGTGCTGTTTATTAGGCTGAGACTATATACTTGAGTTTATGCTACCAATGTTTGTGATGCCCATATTAATGTAATTTATTGATTTTACTACCTCTTGCTATAAGATATATTCTAAATTGGCGAGACCTGTTATTATAACGGAATTGAATGGTTGTCCAGATCCTTACTGTAGTTCCAGAGGGTTTTGTAGCTGGACTTAGTTAAAAAATGCTACAAGGTTACAAAAGCGTAATTTAATCTTAAGTTGTTTCGCTTATCTATCCTAATGTGGAAAGACATCTCTCCTGTAAATTGGCTTTCTGGAATGTGATGCTGGGGATTTTACATTGCTAGGTCGGTAGTTTAGAACGATAAGTACTTGCCTGAGTAACCATCTTCTTTCTGGTGATAGAGCGTTTCGACTATTGAATAGACGATCGAACTTAGTCAATGGACAAGCTTCAAGTGTGACCACTTCGTTCTAGTTGAGTAGGCTTATATATGATATATGCTGTAGGATGTAGGCCCGCTAACTTCGTATTTTCGGTAGGCTTGATTTCTGGATTGGCTTGCAAGCGCTGAATAATAGTTTGGACTAGAGAAACTGCCATATTAAATTGACAATAAACCTTTTGATGACATTTGAATACCATTTTTATCATTCCGGTCTAATATTGGTAACATTTTTGAATATTACTTCGATTCCTTTATGCATTTATTATTCCCCAAAGCTGGTGATCTACAGGCTTGCTTTCAGACTCTTGACAGGATGCTTGGTCTTCACATGTCACCTACATCAAACCCTATAACAAAGAGTCAGTTTTCCGCCTTGGAACGAGATGCTAACAAAAAGCTTTTTAATTCGGCGAGAAATGAATGGGGTTTAGTAGCAGAAACCAAAAAAAGAGAGACATTGGCTCCCGTCCGACCAGACAGCTATACTCTAGCAGCGGCCCTCAGTGCTGTATCCTCTTCCTTAGTCCGTGAATCAATTCTTTCTTATCAAGAATCAGAGTGAGTTTTTCATATTTTTTTATAAGATGTTTTATAATTAGAAATACGCCTAGATTATGAACAGGGGATCCATGGGTGGCACAGCCAATCTACACATTTGAAATGATTCATTATCTCTATTCTTTAAGGTGATTTTTTGGCCCTCTGTCAGGGCCTTTGTCCATTCTTGACTACCTTACATAATTTCACATCCTTACGAATCGTGCCACTATTGAGTTACGTAATGTATAGATTTTTGTTCCTCTAATGGAGAAGTTTATTCAACCACATTAAATTATATACCCAAAGTTAGCCTAAATCTTGGTATTTTCTATGCTTATCAGATTTCCAATAAAATTTGTCCTATGAATACTATCAGCCTATGGTTAAGATTTAAAAGTACGCAAATTATTTAGGGAAGTACTATGCTCATAAAATATTTACGATTTTTTTAACAAAATATGATAATCGTGTTTTATTACTGTGTAGGGAAAAACTTAGGAATAACTGAGAAAAAATATATTTATTTTTTCATTTGGTGTTACAATACAGTATCTATCAATATATGTGAAAGCTATAAAGTATATAGTAAATTGATATACTACTTGTATATCGGAACTTCGTGATAAATTATCTAGGCTTCGAAGTTTGCAATAGTTTATTACCATTGCACCTTTCGTTTCACATGGAGCTTTGAATAAAAGTATTTGCAGGTATGAAGAACAAGATGGTGTGGCCTGTTCTATAACCGCAGTTTCCTTTTCTTGTATACAAGTTGTTTGACCTTGTTTTCGCAATTGAGTCATATTGGTAAGGCGACCTAGAGGAATGCACCTAGTCCAGAGTCCATAATATGCATGATAATTTCCAGTCGAATCATGGACGTAGTACATTCCCTGACGTTTTGCCGACGTCTTCGATATCGTCAATGAGTCTTGTTATTCTTAGCACCACACTACAACTCGTCAAAAAGTCGAGTGAAACCGATTCTTTGAATAATTGTCTGCTAAACAATCGTGGTATCTCTCTTTCTGCCCTGTGCTTATCACCAAGCCTATATCCTCGTATCTGCCCTTCTCTATCACAACTTTTTACTTGGTTATTTAAATGTGGTATGGTGTCCTCTTTTGAGCGGACTTCATGAGATTTCTCCATATCCCACGCTGGCTTTCTCACCCCCTTCAATAATTTCTGAACCAATAATGTTTCTTGAGTAACCCGGAGTTCCAATTAAGCCATGCGGTTATTAGCTAAAACTCTATACAAACAAGATTCCCTAGCTTAACCTCCGGTTTGCTCAAATAATTTATCATTAAAGGCAAATTATGTATAATTTATTATTAAGCTTGTCAATCTCATGATTGACTCCTTGCTTATCTTATCCCCTGATATACTCTCTGGGTATTTATCTAAGATTAAGTCTAAAGCCCGTATGGCCCCAATTACTGGTATAATCGTGTGCATTGAAACTACATCTAAACTTATAAGAAAATCTTTCCGCTCTATTAATTGTTTATCGACGAACTTAACTGAAGCATGAGCATTTTTAATGAAATTTTAAGAAGAACCGTTTTTATTCACAAGGATACCAAACGAAGCCACTTTTTTGTGCCTTTTTGGCAGACAGTAAGCATTAGGAGGCCTAGCGTAGTGCTAGAGAAGATCATTTATTTTCCATTTCTCTAATTCTCTATTATTAACGGATTGTTTCAGGCAACTCTCAAGTCTCAACTCTAATCTTTCTGCGGGGTCCGTAGCTATATTTATATATGTATCAATATTGGCTAAGGACCGCAACCTTATTTCTATATAATGTGAACGTGCATCCACAAAACGAAAATAAGGTTAAGGATTACATGATTATTCGCTAGCTTATTTACATATAGAAAAATGTTCACCACATTCGCACTTCTATCTGTATAAATTTCACTCGCATACATCTATATAAGACAAACATAAAGCAGCCAACCAAGGTATGGAATGTCTAAGTAAGAACATAAAGTTAGTAATAATAAGTAACTAGGATCTCAGCTTGCTACCTATCTTGGTTCTGCGTTTTTTGGTGATTGTTCTAAAATGATGCTTTTTGGCTCTAAAGAAAGCTCGGCACGGAGTCATTTAGGGTGCAGGACGATGAGCAGACGTCCTTTTCGCATAATTCAACTGTCATGTCCAAGGCAACTCTCCTTTGGTATACGATAAGGCTAATTTACGAAGCCTTCTTACACGCCTTCACTAACGAAATGAAAGA